ACATGTTGACTCTTTTGTTATGAAGTAAACAGATAAACAACGCCACTTTTTAGTTGACAAAATCTGCATGCTGAGTCAGAGATGGGCCAGTCAGTCCTCACAGCTGGACTAAAAGACTGTGTGGGGGAATCAACAGTCTATTTGCATGTGCATTTCTGCAAAGACCTATGTATGCCAAACGGGTTAGTGTAAGTGACACTTTATGTGTGACACAGAGGAAGACTGGGTGAGAGGGAGGAGGAAGAGTGAAGAGATGAAGATGCTTTTTTGTTGCTAACTATAAAGGAAGGATGTGGTTTTTCTGAGGAAGCACTTGTCTTGCTCTGCTGAATGAGCTCTTTAGTATACTGTAATAGCAAAGTCGCGTGAGGTAACGCTCTGCTGGCCTCCTTAATGAAGGACTGGTCTACTACAGGATGCTCTTTTAAAAATTATGGTGCCTATAAATATAGTTAAGTGATACTTGCCTTACAGCCTATACTTAATCTCTGTAGTCAATTTCACAGTATGCAAAGACGTTTTTATCAGGTCCTTTCCAGAATAACTAATGATTTCAAAGTAATGGCTTAACCACTCAGCGTCCACTCATTTGGTGATTCGTTTAGGAGTAAATTTATACAAAGGTATTAAAGGGGCATCCCTTTATAGGACATTTTCAGATCTTTGGCACATTCAAGCAGAAGAGAGCAAGACGAATGTCATAGACTGCAAGTGTGGAAAGAAAGTGGAAGACGTGCCCAGACCCAGGTCCCTGACAGAAGCTGGGAAGAAGACACAACACGGGAGTGAAGGGAGAGCACGGGGACGTATTATCATTTCGCACTGTAAATAAACGCACCGTTTGCAGTGAAGAGTCCTGCGTTTTGGGTCCTATTTTCCTCCACATCCCCACGGCTTGCCCTGGCAAACCGTGACAGAATCATCCCGCGTCGGTGGAGGCTTCACCACACCTTTAAGTAGCTCCCTCCGCCGATGCTGATCCGCTGACGGTGTGTGGCATCCTCCTCGGGCGTGGCCAGCAATCTTCAGGCCGGACGGTGCCTGAAGCCCGGCCTCCTGGCTACAGCCACAACTACACACACACACACCTCCCTATACATACACACATGGAAAAAAATAACAGTGAACACAAACACAAACTATAAAAAGGTCCACAACTGCTTAGGGGTCCCTCAGAACGTTTTTTAACGTTTCAACGTTGTCTTTAATTAAAGAGTAGTTAATAAGCAACCCCGTTTACAAAAAGCAGCTGGCACACCTTAATAATGTAAACAACATGCCCTGCAGAGAGGTCAGTTAAGCATCCATAGCAGATGGCAGCACCTGCCTGCAATGATGGTACTTGTGACACAAATGTGAAAGCTACATACATGATATGTAGTAATGTCCCCTCCTTTTCATCACTGTGCTGGCTTTTAAATTCCTCTTTAGCCCCTGGGAGGCAATCTTTTACCTTTTCATTCATTAGATCACAGCTGTCCACTTAGCCTCATCTAACGTGAGCTCAGGCCCCAAAACGCTTCTGGATCTTGTTTGGTTATGTTTTTTATCTTGGTCCGTCCTTTGGGAGGTTTACGGGCTTGCCCAGCTGTGAGCAGACGCACAGAAAGACCCAGAACCCGTTTGAGACGTACATAAATACTGAGCCACCTACACGTTATCATTACAGCAGTTTGGCCACGCCATTAACTGTGCAGTTATTGAGTCAGCGGAGCGTTGGCGACTTTTCTGCACAATGTGGCTCAGCACTCTGTAACTTCACTTGGTCTCGACTTCATAGATAATTTCAGTGATTCCTTCCTTCCTAAAAGATTAAGGGGTGTTGTTCAATATTTTGATTTATATACGATGCCCTCCCCCCAATGACGAAGTGGAAATCGTTGCTGGAGAGAAGACTGTCTGGAATATCCTGCTTAGTCTGCTGCCACTACGATGGAGGACTGATGGGTGGATGCCAGATTTAAGCACTCACACTGGTGCGTGGACGTGCAGCGGCTTGCAGTCCTTGCCCCTTGTACACAGAGGTTTTCTGAATATGAAAACCTACAATGCAATACTAGTATGAACTACTAGCCCACGCAGTCTTTTTCACCGAGGTGAACCCCTCCCTGTATTTGGGAAAGACTAAATCACCCTCTCACCGATATACTCTTTTTATCCGGTCAAGCTACTGGCCTATCGATGTTTAACTCTATGTTTTAGGTTGTGGATTGTTCCCTTAGATATCTGTGTATATATAGTCTAAAGTATAATTTAATATCTTTTTTTAATGTAGAAATTTCCAATTCATTTTTTAAAAAAGCTGCAAATGATCGTAGCCTAGTGTGCTTTTATTTACAGATAGCTCCACATCCCAAGTGTTTTATGATTCTTGTTATTGTCCTTATTGGACTGAAGTTGACTCGTCTGCTGGTTTAACGGCTTTCCTACAGGTTTGTTGTGTTTTTGAACCTCAGGTGCAGTTTTGCCAGTTTGCCCGTGAAACTAATTCCTGTGAAACGTGCGCGTCACAGCATTTCCCGTTTGAGACCGCCTCTCCTCTTCAGAGACTGGGCAGCAGCAGTTCTGTCGCGTTGCTTTCTCTAAAATATATATATGTGTACTTCAGTAACGTAAATGCCGATTTCCACGCAAGGAGCTGAAGTTAAGAAATATTCCTCGGAGTGACGGTGGTTGTCCAGGTAAGTGACGGTTAAATATCTAAGCAGTGTGTCTGTGGGAAGGAGCGATTCATATCAGACTGTGGTGGGCGTTTGTGTGGTGGGTAGTTAAATCGAAACCAGTGACAAGAAAAAAGTTAAATGACAAGTGCAGATTAAGTTCCCAAACACGTCAGTGTTATCTGTAAATACGTAAAAAATAAGACACGTCGAGTTTTTGTGCGCTTAAAAACACTCGAAAAGGCAAAATTTGCTCTAATCTCAGCCTTTGACCGTGACAGGGAAGCGAAGAGGGAAGCTGCCCAAACAAGTGGCGCAGATATGCGACCTTCGTTTACTGAGCACAAAATCAATCTCTCTGTGAATTATTTCTTTAGGGATCACACTGTCTTCACAGTAGTCACACCCAAACTCGTTCTCTTTAAGGTGTTTCAATTCATTGAATTAAGGGCTTGTTAACGGGACAAGATGCATAATGTGCAGTATTATGTGTAGGATTGTATAAAGCACCGCTCTGCTAATAGTCAGCTTTAATAAAAATCCAGGCGAAAACATTTGCAGCCTCAGCCCCCGCACGCGTTACATATCCGTATACCTGTGGCGTTACATTTGTGAGATAAATGAGGTAAATTATTACCTGTGCAGCGGCTTGCAGACAGTTTCGTTTCATCTCCTCACCATGCTGGGAAAACCACTTCTGATAATTCAGCCTCTACCACACATATCATTTCATCTAATCTATTTAAAATTTCTGTCCAATGCAAGTCTATGGACACAATGTGAATCCGGGGTTCACTTTGTTTCACTTCTGGTAATTTAAATGTAAAAAATACATTTTAATAATGCTTCACATCTCTATGCAAACTCCTTCTATGTTATCAGGAGTTGAGCAACCAAACTTGGCAAGTCTGGGGGGTTCTTATCTGTCATCAGATGTTATGATGTTATTTTGTTGCCTAGCATTCACCTACCAACTGGATTAAATAGCACATTTTTAGCATTTATGCATCCATAACACCTGATAAAAGCACAGTATGTCTTAATGTTATGACACAATACTGTAGCATATGAGTAGTTCTAATGTGCACAAGCAAACGTGGTAGCGGCTGACGCGATTAGAGCTTTAAAATGCATTCTGCTCTCTGCCAAAATCCTGTTTTATGATTTTTGTACTGTGCCTATTCCTAAAATCCTTTTTGTTAATTACCATTCAGCTGACCAGAGAACAGACCGCAATCCTACACAGCAGCCAAGGGGCCAGTGCGAGGATTGGGGGCTGATGGAGTGCAGCAGCTATGCTATGCAACTACACTTCCTCAAATTAGTGGACTTTGGGTCATTTTGATTATGGAGGCCCTTCGGCACAGAGGACAGAGGAGTAAAAAAGCCTCTTTTGGCACCTTACTTTGCCTGACGGTGAGAACACCTTAAAGGTCACTGCATGAAGAAATGAGAAATTCCCTTGTTGGGGACTTCTCTTTGGATATTCATTGTAAATTCTTTGTTTTAGTGCATGTTCATCACCACTTTGGCATCGTTACCTGAGTCACAGGAAGTTAATAAGAACTGTAAACCTGACGAGTTTCACACTGAAGATGGAATATGTTGCAACAAATGCAGTCCAGGTACTGTATGAGCCACTGCATGTCATATATATCCACAGTGACAAGCAAATCATCTGAGACATCATCAAGCTAACTTTTTGTTTTTACGTGTAATCTTCCTGTTTTCAGGTTTTAAGCTTCAAGAAAAATGTCATGGTCCCAAAGAGAGATCAACCTGCACACAGTGTCCGGAAGGACAGTACTTAGAATTTATGAACTACTCCCCCAACTGCCTAAGTTGCAGAACCTGCAAAGGTAGAGCAACTTTATCCTTTCCTGACTCAGTCTAACATGTTAGATTTAGAAGTATATCTTCAGCTTCAGGTTTGTCTTACTCGATTTTCTTTTGTGTGTGTTTGTGTTTGTGTGTGTGCGTTCCTTTCTGCAGGATTAATGATCCAGGTATTGCCATGTTTAAATAACCAGAACACTAAGTGTCGATGTAAAGATGGATATTACAAGATTAGAATTGACAGCGAAACCTTTGATTGTCGCAGATGTAAAACGTGCAAAGCCGATGAAGTGGAAATGCAGATATGTAAGCCTTAACTTATTCCAGTACCCATCCAGTCATAGCCCATAATGCATTTCTTCATGTGAGTCTAAATAGAAACAATCTTGTTGTTCACAGGTACACCAGATAATAACACTGTGTGCAGATGTAAGGACAATTACTACAAAGACAACGGCAAGTGCAAACTGTGCGAGAGGTGAGCATACGACTGTTGTATGTGAGCTTTGTGTGTGCGCGCATTGTTCCTATTTCACTGTTTGGGATTGTTTGTTTAAATGTTAACGGGGAAGTGTGTTTGTAGAATTGAAACTCTCAGCACATTTCGCAGCGTGTTCAGTCTTTCCATTTGTTGGCAACAGAGAAGTTATGACACATGAAAACCTGAGATGTGAACAGTCACTGAACAAGTTCTCATTTGTTAAACACACGGTCTGTCTGTCCCACTCAGGGAGGAAGTAAATGTTTATAAGTCTTAGAAACACTCAAGTCAAGTCAATGTAGACAGATGTCTTATGTGGATGTCTTATACTTAAAAAAAAAATAGAATTATGAATGTAAAAATCATGTCAACCCACATTTTGTGTTAGTTAATAATTTAGCATGTGAATAAGTACAGTGGTATTTATCATGGGAAAAAACCTGAGAGCCCAGGGGAACTTACTGCCTGTACTTTCAACAATCCTGAGTTACATTCTTTCTAACAAATAAATGTAGCAATTAGTAGTGATTGTGACAGCTGAATAAGTGTTAATTCAACACTAATTAGTTGCTTAATGGTAACTTTGAAACAGTACTGAAAGTGTGAAAATGAAATTGCTTGAATTCATATGATGATGTAAAAAAGGCATCTTGGCCGTCATGTGAATCGTTTCCTCTTTAAGATGCTACTTCCTCGTCCGTGTTATGAAACGTGTTCTCTCTTCTCCACAGTTGCTCTCCTCAGTGCAACCACTTGTGTTCAAAACCCACAATAGGTGAGCACCAACCAGGCCCTCTTTCTCACAAAAGCGTGAGCAAATAGAATAATCATAGATGTACTTAAGCATATTAAAATATTATTAATAATTTTGTTGACTAAGACATAATGTATGTTTTTTCAATTCTCAACTCCAGTAAAACTTTACATTTTCTGTACATTTTCTTTTCTTATGTTTTAATATGGGTCTATTTTTTTCTGTAACTTTCTAGCTCCTTCAAAAATAAATACGCCCAATAAACCGGACTCTTCTGTCAATATAATTGCTGGAGCTGGAGCTGGAATATTAGTGTTGATGGTGTTGGTGGTTTTAATGACGTACTTGATCACGAAACGACAAACCAAAAAAAGGCTACTACGGTCCTCCCAGCGATCTGATGCTTCCCAGGACTCTTGTCAGGTACCTTGATTTAACTGCCTGTCGTTACTTTTCTTAGTTCGGTCTACGATATGCAGACAATAAATAGGATCTGCTCTTGTTTTATAGCAGGTCTTGGTGAAGAGTGAGGAACATTTGGAGACCATTGTGACAGAGGTTCCTCAGACTTCTGTGGCCCAAGTGGAGACGTCCAAACTGCCTGACTGTGTCCCGCTGGAAATCAATCGTGAGTGTATAGCTCCTCATCAGAGGTCCAGTGTGCAAGCTTCAGCAAAAAGTGCTCAGTTGTATCGCTTTTGCTCAATACCCCTATTCATTTCTCCCCCCAACAGTCTCTGAGCTGATCTATGCTGTCCTGGATCTGGTACCTGTGCTGCAGGTGAAGCAGCTCGTGCGTTGTCTTGGTGTGACTGATACAGAGATTGAACAAGCAGAGATGGATTACCGATCCTGCCGGGAGGCTCACTACCAGATGCTGCGGGTGTGGGCCTTACGTTCAGGTGGAGGTGAACGAGGTGGAATGCTGCACAGGCCACTGTTCAATGAATTATTAGAAAAACTAAGAAATATGCACCTGGGGAAAGCAGCTGAGGAACTGGAGACAAAATATGACATTCAGTAACTCTGTAAAACGTGCCAAGAGGAACAAAATGCTTATGAGCCCAAGTATTGCTGGCTTTAAGGACTCAATCATGGATGCCAAACTGGCCTGGTGCTACAACAAAAGCAGCAGCTTTATTTCACAGTACACATATGAGACTGAAGACTTTGGGTCCTTCTTTGACAATCACACAGCGAGATGACAGGAAGAAACAACTAAGAGCAAATGAACAAACGGCTGAAAGAGTCACAGAAAACGTTTGCATTCAGATCATTTTCAAAGAGCTTTTTACAATGAGTAGTTTTTTACATTTTGAAAACCAGGATTATTTCTTTATTGCTGAGCAATATCTGAGAAGACTGATGCTACTCTCTTCACATTATATATAATCCTACAGCTATTTTGTACCTTTAAACCAAGCCAAGCTATACTCCCCAAAGCAAACTATATTTCCCAAAGACGCACACATTCATTAACATGACCAGTGTTAAAGGCTAGTTGTTCCTCTGGCTCTAGAATGACGGTCCTACGCTGCACCGTTAGAGAAGTCCCAAGTTGGGTGTTGAGACAGTTTTGTGACCAAAAGTAGCCTTAGAAACAAATCTGACAACTTAAAAAAAAAAACCCAAAATGAGCAATGTAAGTGTAGCGTGAGACAATGTGATGGTGCAATTGTAGAAATGCCAAAGCAGACAAATAGATTTTGAGGTAAAACATGCAAAAAGAAATGTTTGAGATTCCAAAAGAAGAAGGTCTAGTTGAGTCATGCCAGGTAAATGTTGGCACGTACGATGGGGTCTCCGAGAAGCGGAGCTTTTTCCTGCTGAAATCTTGCAGTCTGAATGCACCTTAACCAATGTGTTATTTCTTTATTATCACTATGACAAGTCTCTTAAAATGTTTGATGCATTTTGTACCGTATGCATTTCTATGTAGTTTTATTAACTTTTAGGGGAGTCAAATGTATCTACTTTACTAGTGTGTATGATTTAAGCTACCTATTCTTTTATATTGTAAATAGTTGCAGTTAAAAAAATAGTTACAAGTTAAACTTATTATTGCAAAACATGTATTTCTTTCTAGAGGGAAGTGGTGTATTTAATCCCGGTACCGTTGAGTTAACAGGTAATGTTTTAATAGGACAGTGGTTCACAAACATTCTGTGGCATGCTTCAACTTAAAAATCAATTTATCCACCCCCCCACCCCCACCTCCTTTCCCTTGCAAGAGCTTGTGCATGGTTTCTATCAGTCATTAACATCGATGAGGAAGGAACTTAAAAAAAAAAGAGGGACAGAGATCCTAGTTGAATTTCAGTCATATGAAGGTCAGCACAGTAATACTGGCAAGCTTTTTACCCCTTGATTGTGCATGTTCTTCCTCTGGTGCTGCACCCACACAGGGAGGTCCACCCTGCAGTTGAGGACCACTGAAATTGTATTGGAAACTTTGTGGTTCCTACTTACAGTAGGGCTGACCGCTGCCACATTCAATGGCTTTTCACAGCCCCATAAGCTTTCATTGAAACCCTATCATGCAAGCATTATTCATACTGCTATAGAAAAGAGGACACACCTGTTCCCAGTGTCTCTCAGCTGAGCGACTTTTATAATACAGTTGTTTCACCGTGCAGATTCACATAGCAATCAGTAACACTTGAATTGAAAAGTGTAGTTTCACATGGTTTTATACTTAAAACAAAAATATTTACCGACTGGATGATAATTGTCAATCAATGTTGCGCATCAATCAAATGTAAAACTCAAGTTTTAATAAATGTGTCATGTCTCTTTCTCTGTGTGTCTGAGTTACATGTGTGAAAAATGTAATTGTGCATATTTCACTGGAGGCACACTGCCAGTCTGCATTCCAACGTGAGGCTTTAATCATTAACATGAAATGTTATCTTTCTTTCTGTGGCTTTAAATGGAAGGACGTTTTGCTTTTAACCTAACCTGATAGTTTTATAAAAATTCTATTTCCTTAGCTACATTCCTTTGCCTAGACCTCTTCCCCATAACTCCCTGTGCATGCAATATAAAACACAAAGTACCCTCACCACTGAATCTCATCTCTGTATCCTTTATTGGTTTTCTCATATAATGAATAGCTGAACGAACACACACACACTCTGCTGCTGTTTTTAAACTTTCCTGGTTGTTCGGGGTGATCAATAATCCTGATTGACAAGAAACAACAAAACAGATCACCTTCAAAGAAGCAAGGCACCACCCCCGCTTCACTAAGCACCTTAACTGCGACACATTAACCAACCCTCAGCGCTGATTTGTTGTCTGCAGAATCCAGTCGTTCCTGTCAGGCCAGTTGCAGAAGGGAAGGGGTGCAGATGAAAAGAGTAGGGAGGGAGGGACAAGCAAGCTAGAAAGAAAGGAGGTGGAGAAAGCTAACAGAAACCAAAGATGACTCTGTGAAACAAAATGGATTCAGCCAAGTCCAGGTAAACTTTATGATTTTATCTGTTAAAACAGCTGTTGGTTAAAGGGTAGACACTGCTTTGAAGGAACAGTTTGTTTTATGTGTTGACCACAGCAAGGCCCCGACACGTCAGAGCTCATGTGTAGATTCACGGACTCTGATTTGATTTGTTGGCTTGCTGAAGTTATAAAATTACCAGCAGGCTTGTCTTTATTGACTAATCATCATGTTTTAAAGACGATCCAGTGCTGTAATTCCAATATACTTATAATTCACTAATCACTGAGTTACAGTAGGATATAGGCAGTGATTGTAAACAAGTATGACATGGTGATGAAAGCACCTGAGTCAGTGCGCTGATGTTTGACAGTAGAGTGACAGCAGATGCGTGCGGTGTACTGAATCTGTTTGCTTGTGTGAGAATCTTTGCTTTTACGATACTTTCTAAGACTGTCCAAATGAGAGTAGAAATCCTGGTAAAAGTGTTAATGTAAAACACATCTGAAGCTTTAATCCTGCCAGTCAATGACACCGCAGGCTACAGTTGTAAATGGTGCAGTGGGGAGGGGGGAGCCTTAAGCTACTGCAGGAAATGTTACAAGGTAGAAATAATGACAGACAAGTCCAGGTGTGACACCCTGACCCGCACAGCTGTGTAACGAGACCTGGAGTCATTAAAAACTGCTGGTGTCCTGTTTTAATCAGTGTGATCAGGAGTCTGTTCAGACGGCTCACTGCTGGTATTCGCGGTGTCACTCTGATCCTTTAAAGTCAGAATGTGGGTCAGTATTAGAGCATCACTCACTTCAGACAGGAGCTCACGTGTATTTGACTGGTTTTGTCATCTGGTCTTTTTGTGACTTTCCTGCTTATTTAATCTTTTTTATTGGAAGTAAATACGTTTGTTATTAAATCTGCCATGTATCTTAATAATAATAATAATGATAATAAATTTTATTTATGAGCGCCTTTCAAGTCACCCAAGGACACTTTACCATAGGATAAAACACTTAGTAAAACAATGGCAGAATAAGATCTATAAAACAAAAGCACAAGATAAAATGAACAAACAGTGGATTCACAGTGAATATGCAGATTTGAACAGATGAGTTTTGAGTTGACTGTGGAAGACTGTGGACAAGAATGGACGTAGACTGGGTGGAAAGAGAAGGAAGCAATCTGTTAATGTTATGTAGATGGAAGTAGGCAGAACGGGTGAGATTATTGATGTGAGATTTATAGGAAAGTGAACTGTCTAGGAATGCCACCAAGGCTCTTAACCTGAGGAGAAGGGAAAACTGTGGAGTTATCGATGGTGAGTGAGAAATGGTTCGCCTTCAAAAGGTTGGATTTGGTGCCAATAAGGAGGATCTCAGTTTTATCCTCATTGAGCTTTAGAAAATTAGAGGCAAACCAGGATTTTAACTCGGATAGACTCTGAAAGGGAGGAAGGTGGGAGGGAGGAATCAGGTCTGCAAGAGAGATATAACTGGGTGTCATCAGCAAAACAGTGAAACTGAAGATCAAATTTGCAGAAAATGGTACCTAGAGGGAGGATGTATATTATGAAGAGAAGAGAGCCTAAAACTGAGCCTTGAGGTACACCAGAGGTGACAGGGAATAGACGAGAGCGAAATTATCTTAGTTGAATAAACTGGGAATGGTCGAGGAGATATGATTGAAACCAGGCGAGGGGTGTGTCAGAGATGCTGAGAGAGGAAAGTCTGCTTAGAAGTACAGAGTGAGAAATGGTGTCGAAGGCTGAACTCAGATCTAAAAGGACGAGAATGGTGAGAAGACCAGAGTCAGCTCCGATTAGAAGATTGTTGATGACTTTAAGTAAAGCAGTTTCTGTACTGTGACAGACAGCGAAAACCAGATTGAAAACTCTCATAGATATTATTATTATTATTATTATTATTATTATTATTATTATTAACCAGGTGTAAATGAAGTTGAGCTGCAACTACTTTTTCGAGTATCTTAGAAATGAAGGGTAAATTGGAAATCGGACGGAGGTTGTTAAAGTTGTTAGGATCTAAAGAAGGTT